GAAGGAAGGAAGGAAGGAAGGAAGGAAGGAAGGAAGGAAGGAAGGAAGGAAGGAAGGAAGGAAGGAAAGAAAGACAGAGTCCTGAGCAATAGGCTGGAAGAGATAGGATTATCTCCAAGCAAAAGAAAGTAAGAAAATCTCTTATTTATTGATACAACCAAACTAAACCACGGTGTTTCCAAAACTATAAAAATCTGGTTCAAAGACATTAGGCATTAATTCTGTTCAATGCGTCATGAGATCATACTGATAATTGTTTTCACTTTGGCCTATTATCTGGGTGTCTCAGCTGGTTGCGCTGATCCTTGCCTGGATCCAGAGTCTAAATAGAGGCAGGAGCGCTTAACAGTTGAAGGAGAGATAGTAGGCAGTTCTAGGGCTGTGGCCAGATGGAGAAATCAACAAAGCAGCCCTCCTAGCTAAGTATTATATGGAGCAATGATCATTATTGAATTAATAATTATAGGAATAATTTTTGGCCAGTACTTAATCGAAACTGGGTGAAAAATCCATCCACAGATGACTCCGCAGCGTAATGATTGGGGCTTTTGGGGATGAAATTCACACTGAATGCTCAATTAAAGGGAAAAAACAAAGATCCAGAAAGTTATCTTTATGACTGACTACCGAGTTGCATAAAGCTTTGGTTTGCCTTGAGCAATAGATGTAATTTTTTTACATTTTTCATCATTGCAGAGTTGTGTGTTCTGCAAATTACTGTCAATGCGGGCCAGTTGCCAAGTGCCCAAAATGTGATCCTGGGATCACGGGTGTGTGGGGTGTGGGGGGGTGGACTGACCTCAGAAATCAAGTCCTACATCCCTTTTAGGGGAGGGGAAGGGATCCGTCCTAACTTTGAACAGTCCCTGAGTAATCGTAGAAGGCTACCTGTACTCTAACCCAAAGATGTTCTACACTTAGGTGTTCTGACCCCCCTCGTCCTACACTAAAGCACGCCGTGGCAAAGATACTTCAAGGATTTATTAACAAACAGACAGGACCTTGGCAGCAAGCCAGCACAGACAAGACAAGATTTTGGCAGCAAGCCAGCCTCCCACGAGAGTTCTCCAGCTCTAGTGAATATGTTGACTCCTGCAACGAGCGTGTGCACAATCATTCTTTTTATAGTCTTGAGAGGAGCCTAATTACCACCAGCTGAGTGCAATTATCCCCTGTAACTGCGCAACTGCTATTAGCTCTATGGTGCTGGGCATCCAGGAACAACTCCCTTGTCTCCTCCCCACTGCTCCAATGCATGACGTCTCAATCATACTCCCTTGTCTCCTCCCCATTGCTCCAATGCATGACGTCAGGATCACGCTCCCTTGTCT